GCAGCCCCCCCCCCGCCGGTGGATGGGTACCTCCCCCCCTCTCTGCAGCCCTTCCCCTGGTACATGGGGACTTCCCCGCTCTCCCGTGAATGGGGATCCCTTCCTCCTTCCTTACTTTTAACTGCAGGGAAACTTTGGAGCGACTCCTGTGCTGCAGAGAGGTCGGGCAGCAGGCGCACGATCCGGGGTTCACAGCCCTGTGGGTTCCCATTGCAAATCTCTGTCTCCTGGTTGCCCACCTACGAGCACTCTCCTTGCGTGGCCCCGTTGCAAGGATCTCGAGGCACCCATGGAGAATCGCTGGCTTAGCAGCTCCTGTTGGGCCTTCCCCTCTAGCCCTACTGATGACAGAGACGTTGCACGAGGGCATCCAAGCCCAGCCCCTGCTCAGAGCAACAGTGTCTCTGACTAAGCCGTCCCAGCCCAGAGTCTCTCTCACCTTCGTTTAAAAGTTTCTGAGCACAGGGAATCCACAACTTCTCGAGGAAACCTGTTCCTGTGCCTGACCTGACCTCCCTCGTGCTCAGAAACGTCGTCCTCATCTCCAGCCTAAACTTGCCCTGCTGCAGCTTGAGTCTTTTGCATCTCAACTTGTCACTGTTATAACCACAGAGAAAAGCCCATCTCCCATCCTTTCTTTAATTATTACCCTTAAGATATTTGAAGACAGTTATCAAATTCCCTTTTGGGCTTCTCGTTTCTAGGCTAAACAACCCTAGTTCTTTCAGCCTTTCCTTTGTCTCCCAGGCCCCTGATCATTTTTGTGGCCCTGGATTCTTTCTAAACTGTCCATGTGCTGCTTGAAGTTGGGGCCTGAAACGCTGTATGTTGTATAGGCTAAATGCAGGATCAGAGTCAGTTGGAGCAGGCCAGCAGGATAAGGAGCCAGGGATTGTTTGAGTAGACTAGCAGTAAGGACAGCACAGAACAGCACGCTCTGGACCTCTTTCTGGATGTTGTTCTGTTTGTTATAAGCACTGGATGACAGTGCAATGACTTCCAAAGAGCTCCTCCCACCCCATGAGAGACAGCGTCAGGGAGAACTTGAGGGATGTTAATTGAAACAAATGCATGCGTGTCTTGGAGCTTTTGGCTGTTGGGAACCCAGTTTGCACCATCATTTTTTAGTTTCTTTGAGTAGAAAAAACAGCCGTAACTGCTCACCTGAAATACTGTAGTGAGAATAAAAAGCAGTTACTATGTATGTTCTTTAGCGTGAGAGTATGCAAGTTCAAAGTTGAAACGGTACTGGAGAGCTGTTTGCTGATATACTATATTTATGTAATGCTTACCAGGTCTTTCATTGTAAAGCGTAGTTTTATTTAAATGAGGGGGGAAAAACCCTTTTCCAACAGATTTACGCAAACCAGTATAACTTTTTTTTTTTTTTTTTTTTGTTCAAAATGATACAGTGTGCTGAACCTTCTGGACAGTAACGATCATATAAATAAATGATGGCTAAGGTTTTAACTTTTTATTTGTGTTACTTTAATTAACCTACTTTTTATAGTTTTAACTAGTAGAAGGCCTGGATTTGGAAACAAGAGCCTCATCTGGATATAGTACTGTCAGTCTGAATAATGGTTCAGGTGAACCCATGGTTTTTAGGTTCCCTGGTCTAGACTTTGAGTGGGGAAGGGGTTGATCTTTCATATACTTACAGACAGTCAGTTGAAGTGTTTACAGGGGCATAGTTCTTAGAACTAATATAGCTATGTCAAACGAATGCAGTCAACTAACTGTACAACATATAATTCTTATTTCTCTTAAGAGCTGTACTTTAATTAGAGCAGTACTGTTAGCTCTAGGTGTTCTAAATATTATTTCAGACCCTTCAAAAATCATTTAAGCCTTTTCGAAAAGGCTTCTAATTTACATTTGGGTTTTTGAGCCTTTACAACTTACTCAGTTAACACTTCAAGCTCTTTTTCCCTTGCAACCCAGTTTACTAGGAACTTCCTTTTAAAAAGGGAGGGGGGAGGAGGCTATGAACCTGCAATTTCATAAGCTTGGCAGCTGAGGCTTTAAGAAAAATAGCAAGCATGCACCAAATATTAGGAAATGTTTTGCAGAATTGCAGACTGGCAACACTGGCAGCTCCTTCTGAACATGTGTTGTGATAGCCTTTTTATAGGGAGTATACAGTATTGAGGGTTCGGTAATGTTTTCTTCAAATTGCAAGAAAATCAATCTGCACAACAGTTCCTAAATTCTCACGCAGGCAACTTTTAAAGTATTTAACAACTGCATAATACTCTCCAAATCCTATTAAAGGATTGCGATATTTCAGAAGCTTTCTAACATGTCTTCCAGGGGAGATTATTCAGCACTATATAGTAAAGTGAAAGTGAAAGTGAGATTCAGATATGGAGATTTAGACTTGTGCTGCAGACCTAACCTGAAAATGGAGAAACTGTTTTCCCTAGGCATCAGAAGCTGCTTGAGTTTTTATTTATCTATCTTATCTAGGTAAAGCAGAATGGTGGTCTGATAAGATTACAGTATTATGTATTATTAGTTAAAAATTGTGGGGTTTTTTCTATAGTTTCATAGTGGAATCTTGCCTTTTTTTTCCCCTCAGAAAGCAGTTTTTGAGTCTTGTTTTCAAAGGAGAGAGAAATTAAGCTTATTCTTTTAATGATTTTTGGCTTTGTAGCAGGCCTTTTTTTTTGCAATCAATATCTAGGATTGTTTCTCTTACCAATGTTTAGAGTTTTTTTGTAACATCGGCTGCCTTTTTTTTTTAAACACTCTGATTTGTAATAAAGTCAAATATCTCTTTTCAGAAACAGCTGTTTGTTTAATACTGCACTTCTAAGGACTTGATGCTTAGCAAATTCACCCAGACTTCTCCAAAGGCATTCTATGTTTACATAGAGCAAAATGTAGTAGTTTATTCGTCAGAATCCTGGAATATCCTATTTTTGGGGAAAGGAATAGAATGAGGGATTGTTAAATTTTAAATTCTGAATAATCTGTTCAGATG